AGCCCCGGCCATTTCTGCCCAGAATTAACCGGGCGCTTTATGCCGCCTTAACGGGAGCTAAATGCACACAAATGGGCTGGAAGCCCCCCCCCCCGCTCCATTACTGTATTGATCGCAGAGATATTGCAGAAGGCAGAAGAGCAAATGCTTGTGATTGTTGGCACTTAGCTTGACAGCAATCCGATAGCCTTGAGGTCCTGATGTACCGTCCAGAGCTGCCCGGCGGGTCTCTCGGTTGTCGGGAAGCAGGGCGAGGGAAAGGTTGGGGTGGTGGGTTCAGCAATGGACTGGGGAACCTCGCCAACCTGCCCCAGGAATTGGTTAACGATGGGTCTGTTCTCCCAACGGGTTTGGCCGAGTCGGTAACGGTCTAGCAACTCTGTGCATGCAATCTGTAAAGCCTAGTTAGTTTTAACCTGGGTTAGCTTTCTTCTTGTGGCATAGAATGTTGTGTGAACCTGGTCTGTTCAGTGGGTTGTGCAAACCAGGAGTGGCGGGGGGGAGGATTAATTCCTTGTAAGGAGCCAGAATTCTGAGGTTAAAAGCAAGCCTGCTGTATCCCAAAATCTTTGATTCCTTTACTCTTTTTCACAACTCAGAATTACCAGCAATGGTTAGGTGAAGGCTCCCGATTCTGCTGCTTTGGCGTAACAGGATGGAAAGTTTGTGCAAAAGGTGCTTTTCAGCTAAACATGTCACCCAGGAAAACACAGAAGGAGTCCGGTGGCACCTTTCCAAGCTAACGCATTTTGTTAAAAGGCAAACAGCTCCCTTCATCCTTGCTTGCATGCGGCTACAAAAGTTATCTCTACGTATCGGCAGTTAGATCCTGGTTTTGCCCGAGTCGCTGTGCTCCCTGACTGGGTAGGATCAACTGTATAGGAGCCTCAACCGAGAAGCGGTTGAGCTAAACCCAGTTCAGAAACGGAGAGGAGGAGGAGGAAATATTTGCACAGGCTCAGCAATTTCCAGAGATGTTTCTATCCCAGCAAAGTTACTGCTTTGTGATCCAAAAAAGAAACCCAAAGAACAATCCCTGAAACTGGAGAATATTTGGCAGGGCGCGAGGTAAACAGAGCCCAAGCCTCATCAGGATGCATTCAATTTCTCTCCCACGTTGATAACTCGTGCCCGAAAAAAGCAAGATGGGCCAAAATGAGCTGCTCCGGGTCATGTATCATAATATCCAGCACCGCCACCGGAAAGGCTATATTGATCCTTGGAGTGCAGAAGTTCTCATTTGGGGGAGGGCCCTGGGCGAGGTGTGGGGTATTAGGCAGGATTTGCCCAGTGAAGGGTCTCACCTTCAAGGAAGAGGTTCCTGTGGACCAAACTAGTGGGCGGGCTCCCAGGGGCCCTTCCTTGGAAGTGCGCAAAGGTTGCCCCTCATCTTAATGCACCTAATGCATTCCGGCTGTGGACTGTCTCCACAGCTGTGCAAGCCTAGCAGGGCCCTCTTCCTCCACAGGGTGCCTTCCAGATGCGTTGGCCAGGTTGTCTGGGAACTGCAGAGAGGGACCAGAAGGCATCCGGAAGGCATCCAGGGGAGGAAGAGGGCCCTGCTAGGATCAGACAGGATTGCGTTAATGGCTGAACCCCCCAAAGCACTTCTTCACTGGATTTTTTTTTTAACTTTTCCATGAATTTTACTGTACTGACTTCACTTGGGCTTCATTCTGCCCTCATACCAGCTCTATCGTGAGCATGGTTACCGTTTGTTCTTGGGGTTTTCTGTAGCAAGAAGAATACTTCTAAAGAAATAACCAACAGAGTTCGTTGGCGAGGTCTTAACCATACTTGTGTCTTTCTTACCATAGGAGGTGCTGCTGAAGAGAGCAGCAGATCTGGTGGAAGCATTGTACGGGATGCCCCACAATAACCAAGTAAGTCTCACCACCCTCGCCCTTGGCCACCCTTGCCCTGGCGTTTGGGAAGAGCAGAGGGAGTCAAGCAACATCATGCTTTGGTTTAACATCTGTGCGAAAGTGCTGGGCGAAGTCACCCATCGGCATGGGCCCAAAGGTCATCGATGCCCTGAGGATCTCTGCCCCTGATCAACCAAGCGATGCTGTCTCGATTCTGCCCCAGGGTCCGGATGGGGAAAAACAGGCTCTGACTCACCCCTAGCAAGACCAAGGAGCTGTGGGTTTTACCCCTCTTATAAAATTATAAATTTGCAGCCTTCTAAATCATATAAAGAGAGCCAGTTTGGTGTTGTGGATAAGGCACCAGGCTAGAAACCGAGAGACCATGAATTCCAGTCAACAGCATTTTAGCCTAGTGCAGTGTTTCTCAACCTTAGCAACTTTAAGACGTGTGGATTTCAACTCCCAGAATTCCCTAGCCAGCATGCTGGCAGGGGAATTCTGGGAGTTGAAGTCCACACGTCTTAAAGTTGCTAAGGTTGAGAAACACTGGCCTAGCATGTTGAGAGAACCTAGTCTGTGTGCAAATGCAACACACTGAGAATTCAGTAAGCCACTGTTGAGTTACCCACAGATAAGCATTTTATGTGAACACAGCCAAAGCGTAGTACCTGGGGATCAGTGATACAAGATGACATGGAAGATGGGCTTGGCGCCAAGGCTGAGACAAGGTGGGCAAACTTCTACAGCCATGGGCCCCTGAGTGCCATTTTAGTTCAGAGTGCCAGATAGCTAATTTAGGCATTTTATGGGATGTTTCAGTGGATGACAGCCTTAACACCAAATCTCTTTATTGACCTCTGTTACCCCATGGTGGTCTCTGGGGTTTCCTAGCCATACCTGATGAAGGTGAGGATTGAAGTAGGACCACCAGATATGGCTGCAAAAATTAAGACCAGAGGACCTCATAGAGGACTTTTTCTGCACCTTTTTCAGGCCACCTGGGGGTTATCTGAGTTTTTGTATCCATACCTGGTTCCATCCCTACATGGAACTTGCAAAGTTCCTGGTTCTACCCTAGATGGAACTTGCAACGCTACCAAGACACCTCCTTAGGACATAGAAGGTTGCCTTTGTTCCAGCTTTTCCTACCTGGCACCCTTGACCATGCTGAACTTCACCTCCCATGATGTCTCTGGTAGCACACTTGGAGTGCCCCAGGTTGCAGAATGCCCCTATGCAGAAGTTTTATTATCCCAGCTCCGGTTGGCTGCAAATGTCTGAAACTGGCCCAGATTGCAGATCCAGCCATGGACTTGCAGATGTGAAGACATTTCTTTGGTCCAGGATTCTAGGGGCCCGGAAATCTTTGAGTATCTAATATCCCCCCAGTTGTTTGTCTGTGCAGATAATCATTTCCATTTCTTGGATCTTGCTTGCTATCCTCAATACACGCACACGTGCACACACACACACACACACACACACATTTTCTCCAAAGCCTCGCACTGCTCTAGCTGGGCCCATACAAAGACCTGGCTCCAAAGCAGACATCTGTTTGTCATTAGGAATTCCAGGGACATTGAGTAACTGACTTAGAACAGCTCCATCTTTCCTCACCCCCATAAAGGGCCCAGCCAATGTTTTCACAGCTCAGTCATGGCTAACACCACCTGGACGGATATTGCTGTGGTCCTGAGGAGGCGTCAGGTCAGGCCAAGCAGGTGGGAGGTGTTTGGCTCAACCGAGAGCTTTGTTTTATGGGCCAAAGTCCCCGTGGCTTCCTTTCCAGGGTGTAAATCTTCCGCACCCATTCAGGGGTGTCATGCAACAGAACGGTGGGGCAAAATTCTCAGCCGCCCACCAAGGAGATGGGAAAGCCAGAGTGAGAGCCTGGCTACATGTTACACCCATCGCCTGAAAAGAAGTAATGGCTGGGTTACGCCACAGGCTAAGCGTGGCTGGGATTAAGGTGGGTGAGGTGGGTGGGGCTTAGTGTATTGTGTGAACTCAGCTGGTTTGGTGAGCTTACAGTTCGACGTGTTGCGCACATGCAGAAAAGGTGTTCTTCCTTTCATCCATTTCTATCTCATCATTCTTTGGGAGCCCCATTTGGGATTCTCCCCTGATGTCATCCTCACAACCACCCCCTGTCTGCGGTGAACTGGGCAGAGAGATTATGGACTGTGTTCACACAGGGCACTTCACTTGCTTCCTCGGATTAATTCGTTTTCTGCCTGGACACAAGATAGGGAACTCTAAATTAGTCCAGATGGCAGAAGACACCCAACATGCAAAGACTCCAGAAAGCTCCCGAGTGTGAATGTGAACCCACCTTAGCACACCCTACTGTGGAGCCTCAAATCTTCCACTAACCTGGGTTAAGGGTGTGGGTTAAGCCAAGTGGCCCAGGAATGGCCAGCGAGCTGCTCCTCCCAGGCCAGTCTCTTAGCCCCTCCATCACATCATCTCTCCATCCTGAACCTTGATCTCTGCCAGGGTATCGTCAAAAAAGTCAAGATGGTGGCCACGGTGGTGGGAGCAAAGCCCCGATGTTTCTCAAGTGCATCGCTTTGGTCACATGTTGTGGGCGCCATCTCAAGTTTTTGCAGCCCCCCCCCCCC